TAAAAGTTGCAAAAACAGCTTAATGAACTTCCATATACTTTTCATTATTTATCGGTTTGGCTTTGGTTTTGGACATTGTGTTGTTATTGTGCTGCTCTTTATTCTCTCTGTACACAAACATGAATACATTATTTTGGCTGAATCTTCTAAGGATAAACTATTGATATTCAGACCCTGTATTTTTACATAGTTCTTCACCTGTTTCCCTAGAATAAAGATACCGTCTTGCATTGCTTTGTAGTATAATTATCAACTTACCATTTAATTTTGTAATAATTAAAAAATTTAAAAATTATGCTAGGCAGTGGTGACGCACATCTTTATTCCCAGCACTCAGGAGGCAGAGGCTGGTGGATCTCCGTGAGTTCGAGGTCAGCCTGGTCTAAAAAAGCTAGTTTCAGGACAGGCTCCAAAACTACAGAGAAACCCTGTCTCAGAAAAAAAAATTAAAAACTACATTCAGTTTCTGTGTGTGTGTGTGTGTGTGTGTGTACATATGCTCCACTTATGTGCCATAGTGGCTTGTATGGAGTCAGAGGACAACTTGTTGGAGTCTGTTCTTTCTTTCCACAATGTGGTTTCTGGGGATTGAACTCAGGTTGTTAGGCTTGGTGAAGAGTGCCCTTACCCACTGAGCCATTTTATCTGGTATAATAATTTTGTTTATTCTTCATCCAATGTTGAAATTTAACTATTGTCCCAACAATATACTTACAGCAACCTCCATTTTTAATGTTTTGATTCAGAATCCAGTCTATAATTATTCCCTGCATTTAGTTGCTTGTCTCATTAGGAACAACAGGTGTCATCCTTTCATCTTTCATTGTTCTATTTTGAAACTTGTTATTCCACAAGTCACTTGTTTTGTAGTCTTGTTTCCTCAGGAGTCTGATGGTTTGCCTTGAGCAGGTGCAGGGTCCACAGTGATGCTGCATTGCTTGCTACTGCTCCTCACTTGGAGTCACCGCTTTCTTCTGCATGGTGCTAGTTGTAGCTCTTTCTCCAGAGCCATGGGTCTTCTGGAAGAATGATAATTAGAAAGCTTAAATTTGGATGCTGTATATTCTCTTGCTCCTGGGAGATACCTGTGTGCCAGTGATTTCTTCTGTGCATTCAGAGTGTGTCATGGCTTGTGCATTTTTTACTAGAATTTGTAAAGGTGTTAACTATTGGTGGTTTCTTTGTGGAAGCCTAACATACTTATTTATTTATTGAATGGTTTACACTTTCAGTTTTGAAAACCAATTAGCTACTCTGTAAGAGCAGTTTGTCACAATAAATTTGGCAACATAGGTTGCTTATGACAATTTTGTTAATTTAATCTTGTTGGAGGGAGGTTGCTTGTTTGTTCCCAGCTGCTCAGCCCAAAACAATCACACAGAAACTGTATTAATCAAATCACTGCTTGGCCCATTAGCTCTAGCTTCTTATTGGCTAACTCTTACATATGAATTTAACCCATTTCTATTAATATGTATATCGCCACGTGGCTATGGCTTACTGGGTAAAAGTTCCCAGCATCTATCCCCAATGGCTCCATGGCTTCTCTCTGACTCCACCCTTCTTTCCTCCCAGCATACAGCCTAGCTTTCCCTGCCTAGTTCTGTTTTTCCCTGCCTTTGGCTCAAAGCAGTTCTTTATTCATTAACCAATAAAAGCAACGCATAGACAGAAGTGCCTCCCATACCATAATCTCAGTAATATTGTAATTTTGTCTAATTTCTTATTTGTGGTATTTTTTAAAAATTCACTTTTAATAGCTTTTTTAAGCCCTTACTTTTAAGAAAATATTTTGTGAGTGCCTGTGTGCATATCTGTTTGTGGGTATGTGCTTAAGAATGCTAGTGCCCTCGAGTCCAGAAGTATTTGATACTCCTGGAGCTGGAATTACAGGCAGTTGTGAGCTGCCTAGCTTGGATGGTGGGATCTAAGTTTGAGTCCTATGGAAGGGCAGTACGGGTTCTTAGACACTGAGGAACCTCTCCAGTTCCAAGCCTTTCTATTATGTGCTTATTTTCAATTTAAGCAATTTAAATCACTTTGCTTTCTCTTTATGTTTTGAATACTATTTGTGTGTGTGGGGAAGCACAGACAGGTCTTACTGTGCTGTGCAGGCTGGTTCTGTGTTCCGGAACTTACTTTTTTAAAAGTAGACTATTTCAGGCTTGCTTTTTATCAATTTTTTTAAAGCACTGGATATCCACCCAAAATTTGACACATAGTACTTTTTTGTGTTGTTTCTAATTACTTATTTCTTCCCTTTAATTTCAGAGCTTACCAACATTTCTGGTTATCTTTTATTGATTTATGGTTAATGGCATGGTATAATATGATTTGGCTTTCATGTTTTGAATTTTGAATTTTCTTGGCAGTTGTTTTATGACTTGATATTACCAAAATCTATAGAATTGAATGTGTTTGAAGATAATATTGTCCAGCAGTTACAGGGCTATATGTGTATGTTATTTAAATATATTGTTGTTTTAGGGTCTGTTTGAGGTGTCAGTTACACAGAGTTTTGAAATAAAATGTCTTTCCAGGAAACTGATTATTCTGTTTTGGCTTTATGCATTTTGAGGTTTTATTATTGGGTACATACATGTTTATCATATTACTATGATTAGTTGAACTTTTGTTTTTGCTCTAATGCTTGCTTATATAAAAATGACTTAATTATTTTGTTTCTGGAGGTGGGAATGTTAATGCCAATTAGCCTCTGCTTACTTTGCTGGCATTTTTTGTAAATTCAATTTAGTATTCTACAGAATAGATTCATAGACATTTAGAAAGGATCAGGTAAACATCATATAATTGGAAGAATGATAGTAAATCTGCAGACTTTCAACAATAAAACAGTAATCGATGATTAAAAACCAGTACTAGCCATCCAGTAAGGGTTAGCCACCTTGTCCTTATGGTAGAGTTTTGAAACCAAAAATTTTCATTACTAACCTGCTTCATAAAATTTTGAATTTTGATGAAATACATAAATTCAGAGAAATTATATACTAATTACATAGTTGTCATTTGTAGAATTAGAAAACATGAAACATGGTTATATGACAACATTAAATGACTTAGCTGTCAAAAGTCCACTGAAAGGACACATATGAAAGATGTTTTTCTAGACCCTGAAGTTGTGGTCATCTGTATTGTCTTTTAAAAGTTTTATTGAAGCTGGGTGGTGATGGCACACACCTTTAATACCAGCACCCAGGGAGGCAGAGGCAGGTGGATCTCTGTGAGTTATGAGGACAGCCTGGTCTACAGAGTGAGTTTCAGGACAGCCAGGGCTACACAGAGAAACCCTATCTCGAAAAAAACCAAAAAAAATTATTGATATTTTCCACACATTTTTAAACAAGCTGGAATGATGATGCTTCAGTGTCAGTAAAGGACGGGGAACTTGCATGACAACTTGAGGTCAGTGAGCTGGGCTTCTCACTGCTGCCACACTAGATGCACACAGCACAGAGGAAGGAGAATTATAGACAAACATTTGTGTATGAACACAGAAGGAAAACTTCTAAATGAGATCAAAGCAGAGAAATTTCAGTTGTGTATTGAAAGAACCATTGAAGTCAAAAGAAGGTTTTTACCAAAACAAACAAACAAACAAAACCCATTCAGGTCTTAAGGCCTAGGTAGTAGCATTTCCAGTTAAGACCATGAAACAGAAAATAAGAACTTCAGAGGCAGCAAACAATTCCAGCAGTTAAACATTACAGTGCCTGTAAATTATATTCTTATTAACACTTAGCAGTTTCAGATTTTTAAATAAAAATTTGGTACATTTAGTTACTAAATAATAGAGAATCCTGTTAATTTTTTAATTCCCCCATTTTTTTGTAGTGTGTGCAATGTTTTCTTAAAATTAGCAACTTTCATTCAGCCACACTAAAAATTTTAAATACCATTTTTGCATAATTTGCTTATTTAGAGACAAGATCTATTTATCTGTTTTGTTTGTTTGTTTTTTCTTTCCTTCTTAGTATCTTTAGCATCTTGTACAAACTTGACAAGCTGGCAGTATTGAAATAAACTTTTTAAAACCAGAGTAACTAAAATTTAATTCTAATGAGCACATGATTGTTAAAATGTTTTATCAAAGGTTAAAAAGGATGGGTGTCTTAAGAAGAACCAAAGGATAGTTCTTTCTACACAGAAGCTTATTTCATAAAAGCATAAGGCAAATAAATAAATAAATGCTGTAGAATTATCGATGAGAAATGAGAATCTGACAAACAAGTATACAGATTCTGTGGAGCATATAGTATTAACATAAATAGACTGTGTACATAGTGTTGTCTCCTGAAGTTCAGTTTACTATTTACTCAGTTCATTTGTGACACCCAAAGTTGTCCTTTCACCTGTACATGTATACACACATGCATCTGCACACACAGACACGCAGCGTGCTCACACAAAGGCGCACATACCAGTAACCCAGCCCCCACCTTTTTTTTTTTTTGAGAAAGGGTTTCTCTGTAGCTTCAGGGCCTATCCTGGAACTAGCTCTTGTAGACCAGGCTGGCCACGAACTCACAGATCCGCCTGCCTGTGCCTCCCTAGTGCTGAGATTAAAAGCATTTGCCACTACTGCCTGGCCCTGTAACCCAGCACTTCTTAAAGTAGAGGCAGAAGAATTACAAGTTTGCCTGGGCTACACGCGAGTTGCAAGCAAGTTGTAAGCTGGGCTACACATGTAGTTGTAAGCTACAAGCCCAAGCCCTGTCTCAAACAAAGAACTATAATTTATATATATATGTATATATATACGTATATATGTATATATATATATAAATAAATATAAGGAATCATTAACTTTTTATAGTAGTTACTTCATGCTTCTATAGTTTAATTAGATTTTGAAGGTTCTTTGGTTTAGTTCTTAATTATAATTTAGATTTTTATTGTTTAAGAAATGCTCATCTGTTTTACATCTAATATGCATCACATTTCATTAAGAAAGTAACTGATGGGTTTTTTTTTTGTTTCAGCTAAACCATTTACTTCTAAAGTGAAACAAATGCGATTACACAGAGAGGACTTTGAAATATTAAAGGTGATTGGTCGAGGAGCCTTTGGGGAGGTAAGAGATGAGTTTATAGAATGTTTGCTAATTGTTTTAGAATACAGTGGTGAGTGATATCTATTTGTTATAATTGATATGACTGATCAGAAAATAGATTAAAGTTGTGAATAAAGCATTTTGAATGGATTGCTTTTTATGATGCTTCACATCTTAATGTGTACTGAATTTTGTTTCTAGTCTGTTTCCATCTTGTGACAAGGCCACACTATCTCATGCGACCTCATCTCCTAAGAAGTCTTGGTGTGTCTGGTAGAGTTTCTTCCTCCTGATCCTGTCTTTCCTTCCTTGTGTTTTCATATTACTTTAGAATCTTGTTTTCACACATGCACACACACACAGAGACAGACAGACAGACCAGACAGACAGACAGACAGACACACACACAGAGACACACACACAGAGAGACAGAGACAGAGACAGAGAGAGAGAAAGAGAGGAAGCAGGAAACTAGAAAGATCTGAAGTTTGGGATAGGGTTTCATTAAAACTAGAGATGAGTTAATAATTAATTGAAATTTTAAGATTGAGTCAGCTAATACATATACATGAGATATATCTCCTTTATTTAGGACTTTATAAGATTGTAACTTCATTCAGTACAAAAGATTCCACATCTTTTAGCCGGTTTACTAGATGTCTGGTACCCCTGAGGTTATTTTAATTAAAATGGCTTTGTTTCATTTTCTAATTGTTGAAAATACAAATATTGCAATTACTTGAATTTTATTTATTAACCTCATGGCCAATCATTGTATTAATTTTACTTTTAAAATAATGAAATGTGTTGAGTATTAATAAAATGCTTCATCGTATCTGTTGAGACACCAGTCAGTTTTCTCCTTTAATTGGTTAATGTGTTGAGCTTCATTGTTAATTTCAAATGTTAAACTAATTTTATAAAATGATTCCATTTATCTATAGTATTATATCTAAAGTATTATTGTTCTTTGCATCAGTAGATTTGGCATGCTTTAAAAAATATGTGTGTATTTAATTTTTTTCACCTATTTTTTTGAACAGAAATTGGCCTGTTATTTTCTTCTAATACCTCTATCAAATTTTGGGGTTTTGGTGCTGCTGGTCTCTTGGGAGGAGTGGTTTTTTTTTTTTTTTTGCATGCGTCTCATGTCTCACAGGTGAAGCCTTCTGAGCCTGGAGTTTGACTGAGATAGTCAATATATTTAATTTTTACAATGGAGTTTTAAAAAAATTATGTGTCGGTTTGTTCACCTCATGTAACTTTTAGAACTTAGTATTGTATTGATCAGTTATTGATTCATATGATCATTGGTTGATCTCATTCTTAATTCTTAGTCTTTCTTGTTAGGGAGTTGGTCAGTTTTCTTTGTTTTTCAATGAATTGACTTTTAGCTTCTTTAGTTAGTTTTGCAGTTGTAGATTAATTCCCACTCTTTAATAATTTATTTTCTTTGGTATGAACCTACTGTCCATTTTTCTAATTTACTGATGTAAGCAATTCGGAATATTGGTTTCTACTTCTTTTAAAATGTGCTTTCAGGCTGTTTTCCTCCAAGCAGCGCTGTCATGCTTCCTTTATTGTTTACTCCAATTTCCAGTTTGTTTTGTTTTGTATCCGTGAGTTTAGAAGTTCATCTATGTTTCTAAGGGTCTTGAGGATTTTCTGACTCTGTTTTTGCTTTTGAGCTATAAAGTGATCAGATAGCATATATTTTATGATTGGAATTTATTAGGTTAAACTCATTAATTTAACTATTTAAAATTTTTATTTAATTTTTCTGTTTTCTCTTGAGTTGCCTTTTCCTCAGAAAGGGATTTGTTTATTTGTTTATTTCTTTCAGTTTTTTTCTTGACATTTTTTTCTTGATCCATTTCTTCCTGAGAGAATTTTTTCTTTTCTCTTTTTTTACATTTCTTTCAATTTATGCTGATAACAAGTAGTCATCTCGTCTTAATGACAAACTCTATCATTATAGAATGTTCTTGTTATCATCTCTGTGATGCTCTTTGACATACATTAGTCTGATGTTAGTAGAAATATTTTAACTGTTAGTTTTATATTAAATACCTAGCTAAATTCTTTTAGCTTGTTTCCTATAGCCCAATAGTATATTCATTACTAAGTGAAATACCAATTCCTTGTAAGCCCTCCCCTCTTATCATAGATTTATGTTACCTGATTTTCAATTTTATGTTAATAGAATTATATACTGTCTATTCTTGTTTCTAGTGTCTGTGCTCCATGATATACTCATCTGTCATAGCCTTGTTTTTCTTTTCTTCTGTTCTTTAACTTTTATCTCTGTGTGTGTCTCTGCTCTCTGTGTGTGCGTATGTATGCATGTATGTGTGTGGATGTGACATGGCATGCGTGTGGACATGTGGAGGTCGGAGGGCAACTGTAGAGTCATTTCTCACTTTCCACCATGTGGGTTCTAGAAACTAAACTCAGCTCATCAGACTTGGCAGCAAATGCCTTTACCCATTGAGCTGTCATACTGGCTCCACGTTCTAGTTTTCCACTAACTAGCTCACTATGTTTCTTTGTATGAATATGCCTGTTGATGGAGGCTGCTCGTTCATTTCCGGCTGCCCAGACCCAAAATAACTGCATAGAAACCGTATTAATTAAATCATTTCTTGGCCAATAGCTTATGCATATTTCTAGCTAACTCTTACATCTTAAATTAACCCATCTCTATTAATCTGTGCCTCATCACGAGGTTATGGCCTACCAGGAAGGTTCTGGTGGGCTTTAGCAGGCATCTTTCTTTTGCAGCTACATGGATTCTCTCTGATTCTGCCTACTCTCTCTCTTTATCTTTTCCAGCCTAGCTATATTTTGTGAAGCCATTGACCAAAAGCAGCTTCCTTATTCACCAATGGCAGTAAAACATATTCATAGCATGCGGAGGGGAATCCCACATCATATGTCATATGTTTTTCATTTATAATAGCATTGTTGATTACAAAAATTACTTATGTTTTTTGGCTATTCAGAATATTGATGTCAGAAACATTCTTTTATATTTTATATAAATCTAGGAGTGAAATTCCTGTGTCCTAAGGTAGGCGTAGTTAGCTTTAGTAGACAGTACCACATAATTTTCTAAGTACTGAGTCACACTTACACTCTCTCGTCTCACTTTCTCACTAGTCTCATTTTCCTAACTTAAGCCACTTTTGGTAGGTGTGTAGTGGTGTTCATTGTGACTCCATTTTGCATTTCCTGTTAAGTCTTATTAAAATTCAATAACGTTTTGTATCATATCATGTGGATATCCTTTGGACAAGATACATTTTTGGATTAGGGAGGTAGGAGTTGAATATTATTGATATATTCTAGATGTCAATGATTTCACGAATATGAATGTACAAAAAGTGGGTTTGGCTTTTTCTTTCCAGGTAGGTCTTGTATTAAAATTAAATTCAGTAATTAAACTGTAATGATTAGTGATTTTTGTGTTTAAGAATTTTTTCCCTAACCTGAAGATCATTAATATTTTCCTTTTGTTAAAAAAAGACATTTTTCATTTAATTGTGTGAATGGTTTGTCTGTATGTATGTATGTACACCGTGGTTCCTGAAATGGTCAAAAGATGGTGTTGGATCTCTGGAACTGGAGTTACTGAAGGTTGTGAACCTCCATGTGGGTGCTGGGAACTGGACCCAGCCCTCTGCAAAAGCTGTAAGTGCTTTTAGGTTCTAATCCATCATCCTACCTACTTTCATCTTTTTAGAAGTTCTTCCTATAAAATGCCAAGCACGATGACGTACACTTGTAATCCCAAACACTTGGAAGGGCGAGGCAAGAATTAAGTACCATTCTTGGATACCTAGTGAGTTCGAGGCTAGTCTGGACTACATGAGACCCTGTAGTCTCTATATTATTTTATTAGTTAAGTATGACACGTGACCTGGCTACTTTTGTCAATTTGACACAAGGTAGAGTTATCTGAAAGCGGGTAACCTCAATTGAGAAAATGCCTCTATAAGGTTCAGGTGTAGGGCATCTTTTTAATTAGTGATTGATGTGTGGGGGCCCTGCCCATTGTGGGTGGTGCCATCCCTGGGCTGGTGGTCCTGGGTGCTATAAGAAAGCAGACTGAGAAAGTCATGAGAAGCAAGCCAGTAAGCAGTTCCCTTCATGGCTTCTACAGCAGCTCCTGCCTCCAGGTTTCTGCCCTGCTTAAGTTCCTGCCCTTACTTCCCCAGTGATGGACTACAATGTGGAAATGTAAGCCAGATAAATCCTATCCTTCCCAGCTTTCTTTTTGTTCATGGTGTTTCACTGCAGCAATAGAAACTCTAAGACAGCACTGTAGTGTACTTTGAAGTTAGGTACTGTGGTACTTGCTGCATTGATTTTTGTTGAAGAGAGAGTGTGTGTATGTGTTTGCCATGCAAATTTCAACATTTCCTTTTGTATTACAGAAATTTTTTAGATAAATTTCTTATTATTAATTACATTCATGGATTAATGCCTTTGATTTTGCAACTATTAAAGCTATTCCAAAGATTATTTTATATTATTATTGATTTCTAAATACTATTTAAACTTCTATTCAGGAGGTTATTCTTTGCTTTTAAAAGTTTGGTTGTTTGAGTTACATACAGTGAGATAATATGCTCTTGATTTTTCTATAATTTCATAATTTGTTTTTTATCAGAATGTGAACTATTCTTAATGAATACTTCACATGTCCTTAAAATAATATTTATTCTACATTTATTTCTTGCTGTGTTTTAATAATGGCAGTGTGATTGAGATAATCAATGTTGCTATTAAGATTTTCCATGATTTACTTATCATAGTTTAGTTCTGTCAGTGACTAAAGGCATGTTTATTTCTCTCCTATAGTTGTATATATTCTCTGATTTTGAAAATTATTATAGGAGGTACATGCACATTCAAAGTAACTATGTGTTCTTGATGCTCATCATTATGGACTTTTATGTAAGGCAATATTTCATATCTTGTACTTGGTTCCTGCTTTTAAGTCAGCTTTCTTATGGCTT